GTATAAGTGCTGTTTTTAATTTAGATGTGTTGAATTTAAATTTGTCATGTGAGACACATCCAGAGAGTATGGTGAGAACCTTGAGAGAGAAATTGAAGTGGGAGAATGAAATAAAATAACACCTATAGATTTGTCCTATAGGGACGAACTAGGCTATTCCCAAATTCTTTGGCCCATTTCATATATTAAAAATAGAAGTTACAAAAAGAAATGGGTTAGAAGAGAAAAGAGGATAGAGTTCTCTTTATAGAGTATGAGTCTAGAGGGAAGAGCCAAAAACCATTTTTACATATAATGAACCCTTATTTTTATAAGATATAGAGTTAAAAACGTATAAAATTACATATTTATAGCTAATTCTTACTTTTTTTTCGTATGAACTATATCTTTTGCTCTAGAGCCCTCGGGTCAGTTGACCAAGCTGGTGTCGATCGTATATTTCATTTTGGGAAGTTGGTCAGTTCTGAGAGTGGTAGCTGGTCGATCTTAGAGTGACCGTTCAGCCTGTTTGACTTGATTCTAGTGATCTTTAGAATTTTTTTTTAGGAGAGTTGTTGTGAGAGTCTTATATTGACACTTGGAAGATTGTTCAGGGTACTTAGACCTCGTTCGCTCTTCGAAAACTGTATGCTCTCAGTAGACCTAGGTGAAACTTTGTTCGCTCGATCGCCTGGTTGTCAGTCAATTTTAGTATACTAGCTTTTGATATGGACTGTCAGATTATCTTGATATTTGTGCAGATTATTTTTTAGGTGTCTAAGATCTCAAACACGTAAATACATAAGAATTGAGTGATATGCATATAAATCATCCTAAAAAATTTAAAAAAACAGAGAAAAAGCAAATGAAAAAGAAGAAATATAGAACTTTTGTTAAATCGTGATAAATTTGTATAAGAATATTTTTTGATATAATTTTTTATTCTGGACGATTTACATATCACACGCAGAATATAGTATTTACAACCCATCAGGTCACCGCATCTCTCTATTTCACCGTGGCTATTCTCTTATGTTGAGAAAATTAGGACGAAGAAAAACAATAACGACACAAATCCAGAAGAACAAATAGATTTAACGAGGTTCGACAAAGACGCCTACGTCTTATGGAGCAGAGCGGCGGCTTCCTTTCAATATTCAGAAAAGAGGTTAGAGAATAGAGGTATCCCACTTGGGGTTACTAACATGCCTATTTATAACCCCAGGAGTAAATCTTAAGCACAATATGTAATTACAACATTACCCTTATACCATCCCACGGGGTTTTGCCCCCGCACCCCAACCCCAATTTTGACAGATTCTTGTGCTCCGCCCCGCTTCGATCCAGCGACTGTCCCTATATGGTATGGGAGTCATACCATAACAAATCTCCATCTTGGCGAATATCCAGCCCCTTAGGAGAAAAATACATGGGAGTTACACCTGCACCACTGTGGGTTGGGCCACCATGCTTCTCTAGCAACTGCAAACATTCAACAAGTCCAGGCAATGCAAGAACTTGTTGATGGTAACTGGTTTGGTCAACATATCAGCTGCATTCTCATCAGTATGAACCTTCTGCAACAAAATCTCCCCAGAAGCAATCAACTCTCTGATCTTGTGAAACCTGACATCAATGTGCTTGGTTCTCGCATGATACACTTGGTTCTTAGCCAGATAAATAACACTCTGACTGTCACAATGCAACTGAACTCCACCTTGCTCAACGTCCAGTTCCTTTACTAGCTCAGCAAGCCATAAGGCTTCTTTAGCAGCTTCAGCTACTGCCATGTACTCTGTTTCTATTGTAGATAATGTCACAATAGACTGAATTGTTGATTTCTAACATATAAGCTCTCCACCAAGAGTAAACACATGCCCAGTTGTAGATCTTCTGCCATCCAAATCACTTGCATAGTATGAATCAACATACTCCACAACTGAAGGATCATTCTGCTGACTGCAAAAAATAATTCAATGTCTTACAGTACCCTTCAGATACCTGAAAATCCACTTGACTGCTTCCCAATGTCGCCTTTTAGGTTTAGCCATGTAATTGCAGACTTGACTAACAACATGAGCTAAATCAGGATGAGTACATACCATTGCATTCATCAAGCAACCAACTGCACTGACATATGAAACCTTTGTCATATCTTCAATTTCTGTATCAGTCTTAAGACCTTGTTCTGAAGAAAGCTTAAAATGATTTGCCAAAGGAGAAAATGATTTGCCAAAGGAGTGCTTACAGGCTTTGATTTGCTCATCTCAAACATTTTCAACACTTTCTCAACATAGCATCGTTGAGATAAACATAATCATCTTGAGCCTCTGTCTCGATGAATCTTCATTCCAAGAATCTTCTTCGTAGAACCCAAGTCTTTCATGTCAAATTCCTGACTCAATAAAGCTTTCAAACCACGGACATCATTCATATTCTTTACAGCAATCAGTATATCATCAACATACAGTAAAAAAAAAATAGAACATTCATCAAGGCTCTTCACATAAATACAACAATCATACTCACATCGCTTGTAGCCAATTTGTATTATGTCATGTAGGAGTCGAACCGCTTTTACCATTGTCTTGGAGATTGTTTCAACCCATACAGTGATTTCTTTAACCTACAAACCAGATGCTCATGTCCAAGTTGAGTGAACACTTCTGGCTGTTCGATGGAAATTTTCTCCTCCACATCACCAGTTTTAACATCCATCTGCTCCAAATGCAAATCCCAAATAGCTACTAATGCAAGCACTGCCCTGATTGAAGTATGTCTGACCACAAGAGAAAAAATTTCATCATAATCTATCTCTTTCTACTGCGAAAATTCTATTACAACCAGTCGAGCCTTGAACTTTTCCCCTTCTTTTTCTAATACTGCTGGTTTCCTTTTGTAGACCCATTTGCACCCAATAGCCTTCTTTCCCTCTGGAAGTTGAATTAGCTCCCATGTGCGATTTTTCTACAAAGACTTCATCTCCTATACCATTGTACCTATCCATTTTTCTTTCTCCTGGCTAGTGATAGCTCCTTGAAAAGTGGTTGGATCATCGCTGCTGATGAGAAGTGCACAAGAGACCAAACCTTCATAATAACCCAATCTACTAGGAGGTCTTACATTGGTGTGTCTCTGTCTATCTCTGGTTAGATTATAATTTTGCAGATCATCTGGAATAGAATCACCAAGTGTTAGATTTGAACTTTCACCTCTCTCAGAAGCTACTGGTTGTTGTTCTAAATCTATCTGCACTGCATCTGAACTGGAACTCTTCTCTGACACTTTGCCTTGATTCTGCTGTTACATAAACTGTTCATCAAAAACTACATCTCTGCTGATCACCATCTTCTTTGCAATCGGATCCAAAAAATTGTGTCCTTTCACACCTTTCTTATAATCTAGAAAGATGCACTTCTATAGATAATGCTTGTTAAGATTCATGTTGTCAAAAGAGCTCGTTATTTTATAAACTCGTATTTGATTTATTTGTTAAATAAGCGAGCTAAATACAAATAATTATTTTGAGTTTGACTTATAAACAAACCGAGTAAAAACAAACATGTTTGGATCTTTTTAGTTCAAATTAATTAAATAACTAAATAAATGATTATTACTACAACCTTTACATGTATAATTTATTTTTATTTAAAAATGTTACAACTTATTATTTTTTAAATCTTCCGAGTTAAATTTGATTTGAGCTCAACATGAGCTACTTCCAAGCAAAAAAAATTTTGATTGAGCTGAAAAACAACGAACACAGAGCTTGCTCAAATTTATAAAACCACTGCAAAATTTGTTTGCAATGAAAACTGCTTTCAATTCTTTTGCAATGTTCATATTACTGCTATAAGGAAAGTTGACAGTGGCCTAAACATCTGCGAAGGGTAGATAAAATTACGCAAAACTAAGATATAGCGGAAAAAATATTACATGAGGACCCTGCAGGTAGAGCTACCTACGTAGTCAATCACGAGCTGACACGTCGACCCGGCCTGACCGTGTTATAGAAATATTCTCTTCGCGTTATTCTGAATATTTTTCACGTTATTTATGTATTATTAATTTGTTATTAGTGTGTTATTCATGAATAACACCTCAATAACACACCAATGACACATGAATAACGCGAAAAATATTCAGAATAACGCAAAGAGAATATTCCTATAACACGGTCGAACCGAGTCACGCTTTTTTAATGTGTTATTGATTTGTTATTCATGTGTTATTGTTGTGTTATTGAAGTAATATTTCCACATTATTCATGTGTTATTGATATTATTGTTTAAAGAACAATAATATCTCAAAATCACCTCAATAATACATCAATAACACATGAATAATGCACAAAATATTTAGAATAATGCAAAGAAAATATTTAGGGTTTAGGGGCACGTGTCAGCTCGCGATTGACTCCGCAAGTAGCTCTACCTGCTGAGTTCTGATGTAATATTTTTTCGATATAGTGACATATAAACATATTTTTATTTGAAATCAAAATAAGCCAATTCATCTGGAATAATATGATCCAAAGTTGAACCTGCAGGCTCATAATCGGCTCAATCTCCACCGTTCTTTAAACGGAGAGTGCTGGAGAAATCAGATCATATTTTTTAGGGGCATTTACACAAAGAACCCATTTAGAGGCATTCTTTAGGGGGCATTTAGTGGTATATTTCACTCCTAAAATGTTAGTAATCGTGGTATTTATTAAAGACTATATGAAAATCAAAATTTAGATGTTAGATATGTAGATAAATAGGAATTGTGTGTTCCATCCAAAATTATATTTGGTTGTCAATTCTCAAAAAAAAAAAAAAAAAAAAAAAATCAATATTAAATTTAAACTCTACAAACTCTCTTAGAAGGCCTTCAGTAATAATAATTTTAATTTAAAATCTAAAATAAATATAAAAAAAATCATCAATTTTTAAAAAGTAACAAAATGACCCCTCAAAAAAATTCAGCAACTATGAACAAGAACTAGATAGAACAAAGCATTGGATTGAGTCTTCACCTTGCCCCCAAAAAACCATTAAAACATAAATTTTATGGAGATTACATGTTCTCCTGAGCAGTTCCAGGCTTCCAGCAGACTAAAAGAACTAGTGTCCATATAACCAATCTAATAAATAATCATCCACACATGAATACAACAGACCAAATTTCTCATAATATCAACACTCAGATCATCCTTTGTATCAACATTCCATGGCCTTATGATTGATACTTCCCATCCCATCTCCCAACATAACCGTGTTGACTACTCCCTGGACTAGCGAAATAACCCCGAGGCTGTTTGGTCCAATCCACATGAGGTTGGACCTGATCATGTATTGGTTGCTTTCCATAGACGAACATTGATCTGATTTCTGGTCTTACTAGACTGCGAATCAACCACGTTCGATCCATCGGCGCAGAGCGCAATGAAAGCCGCCAGTACATATTTGTGAATGTCTGCACTATCTGAGTAAGGCCTCTGGAGTCAACAGATCTAGCAGCATTTTCAGTTTGCTCAAAAGGATCTTCAATCTAAAGAAGCAAAGAAGGTCATGATTGTAACCGTCAATTTGTATGTTTGAAAGAAAATTTTAATGTTTGGTGTAATCGGAGAGTGAAATGATAAAGGGAGAATATGAGGTCTTCCTGACAGTACATACAAAGAGTCTTTGTGAATTCAATAACCATTTGTTGTTGATGTCAATTGGTTTCCACTGTCCTGTGTAAGTTGAGATGACATAATTTGAGGCCGTAGCATCAAGTCCAGAGAACTACGCGCAAAAAATGCAGAAACTGTTACTTTGTGAAAATATTGCACGAGTAAATCATTTGTTAATTGTAATGAAGATCATACTGATAAAACTATTTTCTTATTAGAGCAGTGGTGAAAATATAACTTCAAGCTAAGCTTCACGCTCTGACCATAAAGAATTAGATAAAAAAAAATTGGAAGGAATCATTAAGTGACATTTGGTCTTGAACCGGGCTAATTTTATTATTAGATATCATTTCCTTTCAATATTATTATAAAAAGCTTAATGCAGGAAGCATGGCCAACTATAATTTAGAGGTAATGAACGTCATAACGAGTTTTTCTCAACCCGAACGCACGCAAATGGAGTTTTATTTATGTATTTCTTGATAAATCGAGCATAAATATCAAATAGTTTGATGTCAATATCAGATATGAGTGTCCAACGAAAATTTCAAAATGGCATGAATATCTTTACAATGATACATGGTCTATTGTATTTTAGCTAACATAATATTTTTTTTTTCATTTGAAACTATTATTTGATGTTCTAGTTAACTTCAGCTGCACATGTATATAGTATCAATGTTTATGCATAAGCATAATAAGATAACCTATCTTGTTTGCATGTGTAATTATGTCTACAAGCATAAATGGTTGTATGTATTAAAACAACGTAAGGTCCTATTATTTCTTTCAAACATAAACGGTAAAAGACATGGGATCAAAGTTTGAAATCAAAACTATTTTTAAGCTCTACAAAAGCTCTCAAAATCCCCTAAATGTAATTATGTTGTTTTAAAATACAAATAAATAGAAATAAATTATTATCTTCTAAAACATAGCCTGATCGCGCGCGCGCGCACATATATATAATCCGATCTTTTCAAGACATGTCAACTCTCCACATGGTATTGTACCTTAAGCCAATGTATGTGTGAATAGTTAAAACATTTTAGGGATTTCATTCCTAAGTTCCAACTTAGTTCACATGGGCAATGATGACTTTCAAAAATAAATTTCCAAAGAAAATAATCAGTATCAACAACATAATATTACCTTGTTAAAGAAAGAAATAAAGAGCTGACAAATAGAGCTTTGGTTTCTCTGACGGGAAATTTGGGACTTATACCTCGCAAGTTTTGCAACAAAGGAGTCCTCTATTTGTTTCAAAGTATTGTCACCTTCATGAGAAAGAAAGCACAATAAGCATGACACCTATCAACAAACATTGCATTAACTGCAATAACACATTACATTATCCTATCAAAGATTGGAAAAGCCAGCAGTCCTAGCCAAGAGCATCATCACATTTTTCTGATTCTTTTTAACCAAAAAAACTATCAACAAATAGAGAGAGAGAGAGAGAGAGAGAGAGAGAGAGAGAGAGTGATTCGAGGAATCAAGCATCTTATTAAGTAAAACCATCACATTATCATAGAAGAACTAAAACACTACTCATATACCTTTTATAACATCATCAACAATGTCTCCCTCATATAAATCCTTGAGAGGTGGAAAAATAGCAGGCCTGCATGTCTTATATGTAAAACATTGAAGCATTAAAACCAAACCAAGTCCCAAATAGTTAGTGTTAAAGCTCCAAAATACGAAAGGGTTAAGGAAAACCTGAAAGTGGAAGATGATCAGCAGGCAAAGTGAGTAAGAATTTAAAGTCCCTCTTTTTGGGTCATCAATCTGTTGTGCTTTGGCAAATTCTTTGATCTGTGTGTTGAAGAATACAATCATATACAATCTGAAGCAGTTCATAAAAATCAAACAGCACAATTAGTTAGATCACTGCCACGACGAATAAATTTTACCAACAAAACCAATTCACGGAACCGCTCGTCTATGTCGCTGATAAAATGTAGGTAATACGACTTGATGTAACCGGCATAGTTATCGATAGAGATATCACATGATATATTGTAATATTTGCTCTGATACATAACAATAGGTACTCTTGCTTTTTTGACAAACTCAATTTTACACGCAACACCTGGCAACGAAAGTCATAATCAAATACCACTGTCGAAGGACAATCACTAAAGAAAAAAGACAGAAGAAACAGCAACTATTTTACTTCAAATAAATGGAAAAGGCACATGATGGTTTTTTTTCAACTGAAAGTAAGAAGAGGATTGGAGAAAAGAAAGATACAGCATGTTGCCACTTTCTAATGTTACAACATATGTCAAAATAGGGCTATCACAATAAAAAAAAATGTCTGTAGCTTTACACATTCAACAATTTTTATGTTGGTACTATGTGAAAATATAACGCATATAGAAAAACACATCTTGAATTGAGAACAAATTCAGAGTGCCTATAGATAAAAAATTCTTATACATTGTTTTATGCAATATCTTTAATAGTGTCACATTCAATTAAGCTTGAAAATAAGAACATTGTTTCCATTCATATGAACTGTGTAGTATTTTGAATTCTAATTCGTCCTTCTGTTAATGTTTACTTGTACTTGAACTTTTGCAATAATTTTCAAGAATAGACAGATTTAAACATGAAAGGAAATCATGGTAGATGAGAATACCAGTTCTTTCAATTGCCCGCATTATTTTCTTAAGTACATTTAGCTTGTGCGATCTTTTTGCAGGAGAGGACCAGGATTGTGTCAAATCAAAAGATATATCCAAATCACCCCATTTTGTGTAGAGGTTTGAAATAAAAGATCCAAATGGCCTGACATAACCATCTGCAACTTTAAGAAGGCCATGTCAACCTAAATTATAGAATACCAAAATATAGGATTCATAATCATCATTAAATATGATAAAAGCATTAAAATATTCCTTTGCACTATCAACCTTGAAGAATTTTAATGACATCTTATGTTATAAATTAAATCACTACCATGTATTTCCATAACAGACAACTGCCAAGAAGCTTGAAAAGGAATTTACAAGATTAGCAAGTTCAGAAATGCATGGAAGAAGAGGTCATTTTCAAAAAAATTTAAGTGATGGAAAGGTTCTATATGGAATAAGTGATCAGAAATGTGCACCTAAAACCAAACAAATTATGTAATGGCAAGGGTCTATCTATAAACAATAATAGCAATCACCTATTAAACTTTGGTCAGTCCCAAGAGCACGTGCAAGCTCCTTAAGAACATTCTGCCGCTTAAGAGTATCATCCGCAGAAGGTTTGATGAAAGAAAGGATTTCCTTTACACAAAGCTCTAACTGAGAATCAACATATATGTCTGATGGCTGAGAATAGGCCATCATGGAATAGGCCATCATGCAACTTGAATGAGCAGCAGGCGAAAAATAAACTCCTATTTAAAAAAATATCAAATGAGCAAACATAAGAAAAGAAAATCATCATATTAGCTCTTGCAAACTATAGTCGAACATAACCATGATGGAATTCAACGCTCTTGCAAACTATAGTCAATTGAATTTCTTTCATAAATAACATTTTTACTTTTCTAACTGTTAATGCTCATCTCACCCATGATTTTTTGACAAAATTTTACGTTGTTGTCGACTACCAAACATAACCCTCACTTTAAGTGTCTGGGGCTTGGGAACCGTGAAAGGGGCCGTGAAAGGGGTAGCTCCGATGGCAGACAAGATTAGAGATTGCCGTCTTACATGGTTTGGTCACATTAAACGCAAACCATCAAATGATTCGATTAGGAAAGTAGATGTTTTAGATTCGACTTATGTTAAGAAAGCCAGAGGTAGACCTAAAAAGAATTGAGCATGTTGCATAAAAAATGATCTTAATTTATTAGAATAAAATGAAAATGTGACACTATGGAGAAAAAAAATTCATTTAGTCGACCCCACTTAGCGGGATAAAGACTTGTTGTAGTTATTGTTGTTGTTGTAATGCTCATCTCACATTCACATTTGAAATTATCGATATAGGATTATAAGCACCGTCAAGGGTCGAAGCATTAGGACCCATCTCTCAAACCAATAAAAGATGGATGCTCCACTGCCGGTTGTGTAATATCACCATGCGTCCCCTTAACCATGCTGCTTCCTATAAAAATAAAAAAAGAAGACAGAGGAAAAAACACTAAAAAAGAAAAATTTCAGCATCGGTCTGGACAAAAATTTCTAAGTTTAGTACTCCTGTGACTAAAATTGAAGCAGAGGAAGAACACCTTCATCCAATCAAAAGATTATACAAGGAAATTGTATGATACTCACATATTCATCTAATCCAAGGATGCATGAATTGATGTAAAAAAAAAAAAAAAAGATCATTAGTGTTGTTCTCAGGAGTAGGATCCTTTTTTTTTAGCATAATACAAGTTTACAGCGTCAATATTGTTGAAAGAAGGCAAAGTGAAATTCAAAACCACAGACTTGCGAGCAGAAATTAAAACATTAGCTTCTGAAACTGAAGGGAAAGGTAGTAAGAGTCTGCGTTGCAGATTGTACCAGCAGCCGGGACTACGTTGCGAGAAGAAAGCAATCAGGAGAGCCCAGAGAGCGATCTCTCTCTGAAATTCGCCTGCATCTAAACTTTGCCCTGATTTTTCCGGCCTAAGCGCACCTAATAATTTCTCTCATTTTTTTAGGCACAGAGAGGAAAGTGGGCACTGGACAGACATCATGATCTGTGCTTTCGTTTACCTGCGGAGACTCAAAGGAAAGTGCTTTCGATGCCAGGCGTAAGCCACAAGTTTCCTCAACTTTATACAAAAAAAAAAAGGAGGGATTTTGATGAAAGTAATTTTCATTCCAAGCGCTCGTGCTCCAAAACTACTCAAATACGGCACTCAGTAAGGCCACAGAATCACTCTGTGTTGCTCTCCGGTTGGCCAAACTTGCTCCCTCATGCCCTAATGCCCTAATGCCCTAATGCCCTAATGCCCTAAGGGGGAGAGATAAATTTGCATAGAGGTTATTAAGAGGATATTAGAGATTATATCCGTGTTATACCCCTATGACTTTTCTGTAACCTACCTATAACTTATAAATATATGAAAACAGAAGCACGAAACATGGATGTTACAAGGGTATAACACGGATATAACCCCCCAATGCCCTCCGAATAACCTCCACGACGTGGGCAGCGCTGCGTACATCTTACGTACGCAAATTTTTCTCCTAAGGGGAAGGAGGTGTTTGGTAACCCCTATTAATACTATTTATTGGCCAAATTTACTAAATCGAACTAATTATGAAAATATAAAAATACATAAGTTCCATAAATTTATGAAATTTTGTATTTAAGATTTAAATTTTATCTTCGGTTCATGCTAAATTTAAATTTAATAAATCCAATAAAGAAGTGAATTTAATAAATTTAGATTTACTAAATCCAACTAACATTATAAATGAAGGGATTTTTACATATATATATATATATAAAACTCAAAATTATGGACTTGTGCAACTCAGAATGAAGTGATTTATATTATGTTAGAGGATATTGGAAAGACTGAGTAAGGTAAAAAATTATGGACTGCAACTTTATTTCTCACTCTTACCAACATATAAGAAAAAAAATTAAGGCGTAAATTTGTTTCGAAAAATTGGAAAAATCTGAATTTAGGGTTGATTATTAAAAAAAAAAAAGAGAAATTAGTAGATGGTGATAAGTGATCTGTAAGGATTATATTTATGATGGACTGGACAAAGTTAATAATGCAATCAGTGATGGAAGACATATGTTGTTCTTAAGATCCAAATGAAAGCATGATGTATATTAAAATATCATTATCCTTATTATGTTAAGGATCTGGATCAAAGAAGTGTTCAAATCAAGTGTCTCTTTGGGCAGCTGCAGCTTCTCAGCTTTTCAGCTACAACTTAACTATCTCAATAAACTGCTGCGGGAAAGCTGATCAATTGTTTTTTGTATGTGTATGAAAACAGCTGTGAGCCAGCTGTTTCTAGATAAATGATCATCATGCACCTGTGTAGTAATGTTATTTGTAATAGAATATAAAATAATTTTTTTATTAAACAAATTATTTCTTAAACAATAAATTAAAATTCATTAATAATTAATTAGTTTTAGTAATAAAAAAACTTATATTTTTATCAAACAATTTAAAACCTATAAATATTTTTATAAAGTAATTAATTAATAATTAGATAATAATATATAAATTTATCTAATTATGCTTAATTTTAAAATATATGAATTAATCATTAATTATTAATCAATTAAATTAATAAAATTAAAATTTAAATAAAAATAAATTAAAACCATAAACCCATCCCTCCCTTACCCTCTCCTCCTCGGCCCAAAACCCTCCCTGATGCTCCCTCCCCTCTCCTCCTGATTCGTCCAAAACCATGGCCTTCGTGAACGAACCCTTGGAATACAATCGCGATTAGAGCAAGCTGAGAAGGCAAAGATGGGATAGTAGCGTACATAGACAATCAAAACTTTCATCTCTCTCATCCTCCACTTCGTTCCTATTAGAAACCATTCATGAAGGTAAGCCTGTTTGCGCCATTCTTCCTCTTTGTCGAAATGAGGATGGAGTCGGGGTCGAACAGAGGGGAGTTGGGGTCGTAGAATGGGGAGGGGGTAATGCGGGTAAAGATGCTAGCTTGAAAGCTGGTTGCGGGGTTCGATCCGCGACCCGTGTTTAGCCAAAACGATGTCCTACTGCTAACCTCCCGCCGACTCAAACGATCACGATTCGCTTCCCTCCCAGCGTCGCGCTCCTCCCGTCGAACCAAACGAACCCTAGGTTGCTTTTGACTCTTGAAGACACTAGAAATTTAGGTTAAGATACCACAAGCACCGGATTGAATAATATTTTGGCTTAAAATTGAATAATATTTTGGCCTAAGTTAATTTGAAGTTATTGGCAAGATTTTGAAATTAAATTTTATATATATTAAATTTAAAGTTTGACATTCATATTTTATGAAGAAAAAAAAATCAAATTTGTGCATGTTTGGCTCAGCTTAGTTGATAAAAATCTTGATAATTATAATTAAATTGAAATCAAATTGAACCATATCAAATTTGTATTTTAACACTTAACGTTTCCTTAAATATAAAAAAAAGGATACCTACTAATGCGTGCTTAAAAATTTGCGGTAATAGAGAAATATATTATCGTCCTTATGTGGCACAAAGATTCAACACACACTCAAAAAAGAGAAAATTAGTAGTGACTCCATAAATTTTTACGTAGAAGACCCGTAAAGAGAAAAAACACGTGGTCTAACCCAATTGAAGAGTTTCACTATAAAATGATGATTACAATCACAATCACTTATTCCACAGGCAGAAAATAGTTACAAGGTCGACGTGCGAATAAACTTGTTGCAAGGAACGAGTGGCGACTGACAGGTGATGTTTGACGGTATTTGGCGGTGGTCGACAACGATCGGCGATAGTCGATGACAGCAGAAGTGGCGTTGGACTTTCAAATCTTTCTTAAAGCTTCAAGCTCTTTCTCAAACCCCAATACCTCATCTACCTCTCTCATTGAAGGGAGGAGAGAGCTTGAAGCCTGAAGAAGAGCTTGAAGCTTTGAGAAGGAGCTGAAATCCAACACCACTCTTGTCACCGTTGACCACCATTTGCTGGCCATCCTCTATCACCATTGACTGTCACCAATTTCTTGTGACAAGTTCCTCCGTGCATCGACGTCGTAACTAGAGAGACTTTGAACCCTTTTCCGCATATGAGACAAGGGGTTATAATTCTCAGTTCATAGTGAATCTCTTTAATTGGGCCAAACCTCATTGCTTTTTCCCTTCACGGTTTTCCCACGTAACAACTTTTGGTGTTCTACTGGTTGTTTTCCTTCATATGAGTGTTGCTGAATTCTCGTGCAATGCTAATAAGATAATCTATTATTTTTTCGTCGCGAATATTCTAGCATGCATCACTTATAAAAGTTATGTAATTATAAATGTACACTAAGAATATGTCAATGATAATCCTAAAGAGATCCAATTGTACAGAAATTCTGCCAGACGACCGAAGGCCAGCGAGACGGTTGAAAGTCTGTCAGACAACAGAGGCTTGTTGGGCGACCAGAGGCTTTTAAGACTTGCGAAGGCTCATCAGACGTTCGAATATCTACCAGACGATCAAATATCTACATGAACACCGAAGTTCTGTCAAACTACCAAACAACCGAAGGGCTGATAGTCGACAGGTTCTAATATGCAAAAATACAATAATGTATTGTAACCCCTTATTAAAGCAGGGGTAGACACATAATTATTCATATTTGGCTTCTATCTGGGAATAGTGCAGTTCACCCCTATGGGGTAAGTCTGTGTATACTGTTTCCTTTTCTTTCTCCCTCTCTATTTCTCTTTCTTTCTCTCCTCTATGGTTCATACCGCTTCGATCCTTGGGCATGCTTCACAAGGCAAATTTAGATTCAACAATAAAACTTTAAATAGAAAATAAAAATTTCAATTACAAGAAAAAAGGTTGGACATGTGTTTGAATTTTGATTATATGGTAAGAATTCTGAAGTGAGAAAAATACTCCATGCAGAGTCTGAATATATCCGGACATACACAAAATATAATGAGTACAACCACTACAATGTGCACAATGTGTATTATGAGTACAATGATATGTATCAAGTATGCATGATATTTCTATTTTATTCTTATTTGTGTCATTTTTATGTTTTTCCATAATATTTATGTGTGAATATTCAGTGTATAGGTGATTAGTAATTTGGGGAGCAAAGAAGCTGAATTAGAGTGTTAAGCTTGAGCAGGTGCCCATGTGCTCGAATCCAAAGAGCTAAGAGCCTAGATCCAGAGGGTCAGGCGCCCAACTCCCAAGCCCCATTCATGGGTATCCTGGTGCTCGGATCCAAAAAACTAGGCACCAGTTTTGGGTGCCCGGGCGCTCGTATGCGCAGGAATACAATTTAAACATATAAATTCGTGTTGTTTCGAACAGGGAAACAAAAATTGGAACAGTGCGAGGGAGTTTAGACTCTCGCCATTGCTCGATAATGCGTCTCCAGTGTGTCCAAAGTCTGTAAGACTGAAAGGGTTTCTTGAGGATTTGAGAGAAGCGTTGCAAGGGTTCTCTTGTAATTTGTATTGTATGTGGTTCTACTCTTGTAGAGAAAAAAGAAAAATCAATGGAAGCATAACAGGTGTACTCTATTAATTCTATAATTTTTAAACTCTTGTGATTATTATGGTTTGATGAATAAAATATTTATTTTATTATTTCAATGCACAGATAGCAAGTAAATTTCATTTTCTCCTTTAAATTAATAATTTAGAAATCTAGTATTTAACTTTGATGTTGTTATTAAACTGAAATTACATAATGACGATGTTTTGACCTTCCGCACTTCATTGACTCTCAGTTTGTCCAATTAATTTGTTAATATGTGTTGTTATCTAGTCGTGTGGGAGTAGACTAGTTGAACAAGTATGTTAACTGACATCAGAATGGGAGACAAGGGATGCTGATTATGGATTAGTGAAATTGTGAAGAAAAATATGAAATCATATCATAAGAAAATCAATTAATTTTGGGAACTAAACATGCTTAATTTCTAAACCTTTTTAAACTATTGGGATAAGATAAGAAGGAGGAGATCAGATTCTGATGCTCATCCATAATTTTATCACACGGTTAAACCTAAATTTATAAGATCCAATTCAGAAGAGAATCATTCAATCTATAGAAAAGCTAACCGTTCTCAATTACTTTACTTCAATCTATAGAAAGGCTAACATTTTGAACACTTTAGATCAAACTTAAAACCAATGGATTGACACTTCTCGTGTTTTCGGAAATTTAATTCGTTTTCTGTGAGATCAATACTAACTCGTAATTCAGACATTTTTAATTGAGACGTATACTTGTGTGATTGTCAGTCAATCACAACATTTCATGTCGTACTTGTATTTTTATATGTCCGGATGTAATTATACATCGCAAGTAATATTTTCTCCCCAATTTGTACAGTTAGAAAATGCAGGTATCCTTGGGAAAAACAAAGCTTCCCTTCAGAATATTTCAGAACAAATTAAAATCTAAAATATTAAAATAATTTTATATTTATTTATATCTGAATATTTTCGAGGTTGATAGAGAGCTTATCATCTTAATATTGATCAATAATTTCATGCATATATATAATATAAAAAAAATTATTATTTACAAATCTAGCGCCATCAGTTAATCATTTTAGAACTCAACTCTTATTTTTCATTTTTGTCAAATTTTTAATGATTTAATTGTGACCGTGTAAACATATTGATTTAATAGTTTAGAATGTCGCTAAAAGTTCAAATTTTATAAATAATAATATTTAAAGTGTGATATATTTGTAATTATTAAATAATGCGTGCAAGAGAAAAGTTATTATGTACGCTCTTGAGTGGAAAGTTGGTTGACAGCTGCGTTGTCAGTCGTAAGACCTTTCTGATTCTGGTTCAATCCCTACGGGGATGGATAACATATATGGGGAGCGGTATTATCAAATACCACCTTATAAAAAAAAATAAAATAATTATATCGGCGAAGTAATTTCGTATGGACGGCAATCTCTAATATGAACTTCAATGACCTTATGCTTCTCCCTCTTTGCCTCACAACATTGTCTCCTTGGTGCCTATCATTAAGAATTAAATCATAATTAGAAAAAAATAAAAAACAATTCTATGTAGTTAAAGACATTTTTTTTTAACTTCATAAGATGCTACTTTTACTTTTGCTAAGGTACCGGAAAATAACTAGACGGTTGCAAACGAGTCGAGTTTGAGTGAACTCAATCTTGGCTCGTTTAAAATTAATTCTTTAAAATTGTTTGTGAATAGTATATTCGTGTAATGAATTTTTAGCAAATATTTTGATTATTATTGGTTTTATATACAAATCAAAATTCTACTATTTCATATTATTTAAATATAATAAAAAAGGTTATATATTAATATCACTAATTTACTCTAATCAAAATTCGGTTAAATACTCTGAACTTTTTTTTCAAAGAGGACCTCTCATATATTTTTTTATTATTAAATAAAGAATATAGTATTTTAAAAATTAATAGCAATATCTCTTACTGAAAATATAAAATATAAATAAAATAAAATGAAAAACTATATCATGACACAAGCTCTTTTAAAACCTTTTATTTCACCCATTGATACTTCCCAATTGATACGACATCACCAAATTTCCATCGTACATCATGAATCTCAAAGCATAACTCATATCTCAAGACAATTTTTTAGAATAAGAAATATTCAAGTTGTAAAGGATCATCTAGAAGTTTGGTTGAAACAAATTTATAGTCAAATTGACCGGTTTGAGAAGACGAACCAAATGATACCAACATTAATCCAATGCGAACCAAATTGAGCCCTGATCAAGCCATCAAACCATGTTTGAAATCTTTTAGGCACATTTGAAAGATCAAACGGTTGATGAATCTTGTGAATTCATAGACGAATCGAGCGTCTCAGTAAGACGAATCAAACCAGCCCAAGATCAATCAATTTCAATATCATTAAGACATTCAAATATCTATCAAATGTTGTCTGATCGAAGGAAGCTCTCTCGATTGTCCGATCAAAGTGGTTCATATGCATGCATTAATTGCACCCATAACACTATAAATAAAGCACTATGATGCTCGAGGAAGAACTTGAAGCTTTGAGAAGGAGTTGAAGTCCAACACCACTCCTGCCGCCGTCGATTTTCGTCGACCGCTGACGACCGCTGTCGACCTTTGAAGACCGCCTTCGATCATCGCCAACCCTCGTCAAGCGCCGCCAATCGCTGTCGACCTCCATCTGTACGCCTCCACCGATCGTCATCAATCACCGCCCACTTCTTACAACAAGTTCATTCGTGCACCAACGTTTTAACTTCGAAAAGTATTCAACCCTTTCCTGCTCGTGGGACGATGAACTGTCCATGTAATATCCAGTTTAAAGTTGATTTCTTCTCCTGGGTTAGACCCCATAGTATTTTCCCTTTCTGAGTTTTCCACATAAAAAAACTTATGGAGTCATTACTAATTGTTTTCTCTTTTCCGAGCGTGTATTAAATCTTCGTACCACGCCAAGATAATAATATGCTATTCTACTGTCGTGAATTTCCTTGCACACATCAATTTGACACCGTCTATAGAAAAAGAGCATTCCCACCACTAAAAGACTTGCAAGACTTGTTGCAAGGCCACTAAGTGCAACACTCGCAACAACAGAGCATCTTGCTCCAACACCCATCATTCTAGAAAACAATCACAGAGTCAATGGCATTAGACCTCTGCATCCTTCCATTTTAAAAGTTATTACTCTGGTAGCGAATGTGTCTCAGTTCCTTCTCTGGAAGACCAAGTATGTATAATGGAGGACTCCCAACATAAGATCCTCCAGCTCCTACGACAATCAATGCCCATGTACCCAGATGGAGCATACTTACCACCAATTCAACATTCAACAGAAAATACCTACTCATCGGGTTCTCTCCCAGTGATGAAACCATTTTACTGCCAAAACAGGATGTCAATCTCCTAGACATTACAAGTTCCGCTCATCTGTTTCATGCAACTCATCTGACATTACCCCACCTTATTATCGCTTCTACTGATATCATCTGTGGTGAGCTACTACGCCTTGTTCGAGAAGAGTTCACTCTGGATAAATGAGATCTCTTTCCCGCTCCCTGCAACTTTCAAGAATCATCTCCTTTAATTGACGGGGTTCTCCAAAACCATATCCAAATAGACTTTAAACCCTCGAATATTGATGCCTATGATGAAATAATTGACCTATGTGAGCACGTCGACCACTATCAAACTATCATGCACATTCATCATGTCTTTGATGCCCTTCTCTGCCAAGGGTTCCCTGCGGCTTTCAAGGATCAAGCTCGCACATGGTTATAATCCTTCCCGACACCTTTAATGAGGTTGTCAGACGATTCATAGAGCAGTACATAACAAATAGAAGGATCATCAAAGATTCATCCCACTTATCGGGAGTTCACAAGAATGAGGGGGAATCCCTTAAGGAATATTTCTATATGCTCTCCATTGAAGCCAGCCAGATTCTGGGAGTTGATCCATAATTGTTGAGAGGAGTCTTTCTTGGAGGGCTCCGACCTTTCTACTCATCCTCATGCGAGAGACAATTCGCTCTTATGTTGATCTTTTCCATCGCGTCGAATCTCAAATTTCTGTAGATGAAACCATCAGTGCACACAAGGAACAACTCGAGCGATTAGGGGGCAAGCGCTAGAATAACATTGGGGATACCGATCAAATCTCACATAAAAAAAAAAGTTCAAATCAATGAGGAATTCAGAAAAAGAACACAAGACTCTCAACAAGTCACGTGTTAACAACCTAATGGTCATTAAGGATGGAGAGGTCGTCAAGTAGCCAAAGCAATTAAAAAATCCAGACGGTGGAGACCAATCTCAGTATTGCCATTTCTACAAAGCAAAATGACATTCAACAGAAAGTTATTTTCAATTAAAAGAAGAAATTAAATGTCTGGTACTTCAGGGTCACCTGGGTTGCTACTTAAATAACGAGGAAATGAGAACTAGAAGAAAATTGTCGGGGTTATTTAATGAGAAGTACAATTTATCTTATATGAGTAAAAGTCTGACATATAAACTCTTAATTTTATTATAGCATGATTTTTCATGTTACTTTAAAAAATGGCCATTCAGTGAAAATTTCTTATTCTCTCACGAAAGGATTTTTTGTGTAGAAAGTCACCATCAGGGCAAGCGATAAACAAGTTCTCCATCCTTACCCCTCGAAGTCAAGCCCAATATGCAAGACTCGATGAGGAGATACAGTATTCCTAGAAGTCGAGCCCAAGAAAGATGACAAAAGGAAACTACCATGCCCCTGAAAGTCGAGCCCAAGAGCCAAGACTTAATGGGAAGATCCAGTACCCTTGGAAGTCGAGCTCAAGAGGCAAAACTCAATGAAAAACTATCATGCCCCTGAAAGTTAAGCCCAAGTGACAAGATTTTATGGGATCCAGTCCCCCTGGAAGTCGAGTTAAGGAGGCAAGACTCAATGGGTAACTACCATGACCCTGAAAGACGAGCCCAAAAGGCATGTTTAGATGGAAAACTAGTAGTGGAAAAGGCCCTCGTTAGAAAGACTTCACCAGATTAAGTGGTTGACAGGGTCTCCACTCAAATACCTCAAAATGTTAAAAGCCTCAGAAGACACAGATACATCAAAGACCTCAGAATGTTACAAGGCTCAGAAGACACAGGTACATCAAAGACCTCAGAAAGCTACAAGCCTTAGAACACACAGATACATCAAAATCCCTTAATGAAATTACAAAAAAAAAAAACCATATGAGAATTGTTGTTTTATGAGATCCTTTGATGTAAAGCCTTATGAAATTACAAAAAAAATCCTATGAAATTACAAAATTACAAAAAAGTTTTTTATATTTATGCATATACTTAATTTTTTCAAAAAATATAAAATATATAATTAAATTATTTAATATAAAATAAAATAAATCACATACACTTTCATGTATATATTTATATGATTGACTATATATATATATATATATACAAGTTAAAATAAAAAAAAAAAAATAAATAAGAAGAAGAAAAAAACAGCATACCTTTCTCCATGCCATAGGATCCATTCTGCGAGCCGTAACCCTCACCTTGTCCACCATGCCCTTAACCCCAAACCCCAACCTCTCACACCTCTCCCTTCCTTCATCCCCCCAACCATACCTCCCATACTCCGTCACCGTACCCTCCCTCCCCTCCTCCACCTTCTCCAAAAAATACCTCACCGGCCGCTCGCACGGCCGGCTCGCAGGCGCTAACTCCCTCGTATTAAACGTAAACCGCCTTCTCTCCAACATCTTCCAACTCCCAAAGGTTCGTATGGGAATCTCCATTTCCCTGGGAGATAGAAGCCATGGATAGATCTGAGCCGTGTATCCCCAAGAGACGGACACCGACCACTTGATTTGGGGCTCCTGAAGGTAGCAGAAAGATTGCTGAAGCGCGCGGGATTCGTCGGCACGTGTGGCGTTGATGAGCGATCGGAGGGCATGGAGTCGGGAGCGGAAGCGAGGGGAGATCGGCGGAACCGAGCTGAGGTGGTGGAGAGACAGCAGCGGTGCGATCGGGTGTGCCGCCAGCATCCCGTAGATGTCTCCTCTTAGGTCTATCTGCCATTAATTCTTGATGCATTATCAGCCGTCGGATTTAATTACATTATATAATTTATAAAGAATGCTAACCTGATGAAACCCCGGCTCCCTCGTGAGCGGAACACCAATCTCAACGAAACAAGCGTGCACGCGCTGATCGCTGCCGTACAAACTCTCGTACCTCCGAAGACACCCATCGATTGCTCCGGCGAGGGCCGCCGCCGCAGGATAACTGACGGCGAACCCGCCGCCCCCAAACCCCATGCCATAAGAATGCATTTCGTTCTGTTCCACGCTCTCTGAAGCGGCCCCCACGTAATACATCTGCTCGTGATCGTACTTCCCGAGAACCGCCGCGACATTCTCGGGGAAAAATAGGGTATCGTCGTCTCCCATCACAAACCACCGCACGCCGTCCGTCCCCATTCGGTATTCGTCCGCGGCAATTCTCGCAATCCGCGCAGCCGGTTTCTCCGCCGCAGTTGATAGCCGCCACGGGGGACACGTGTCTGGCCATTGCGTGGGCGCCGCGTCGAGCCAGACGTGGCCGCGCATCTTGTCTGGGTTCCACCAGAGGTCGCAGTACTCGCGCCGCCGGCTCCAAGTGTTAGCGGAGCCGCCGATTGCGAAGATGATGTGGGAGAGGTTTGTGGGAGGAGGTGGAGGAGGAGGAGGAGGAGGATTGACGGCGGTGATGAGCGGTCTTGATAAGGGACTGGTTTTGTTTGGGAGGAGGGTGTAGAGGAAGAAGACGGTGGATAGGAGGAGGAGGGTGTAGAGGGATGGTTTGGAGGCTAGCCGGAGTGTTTTTCCGGCGAACTCCGGCGGGAAGGAGGAAGGTTTGCAGATCGTGATCATGTTGGATTCGGGCGGAGGAGTTTGCGCCGTTCGGGAATTTGGAGCGGTTTGAAGCGGGAGAGGTGATTTCGGGGGTTTGTGGATTGCTGGGTTGACTCTTGACTTGGATGAATGTGTCGCTTCTTTGATGAGATTATTAGTCAAAAGTTCTTTAACAATTAGAATTAGAAAAGGATTAGTCTAAAAATAAAATTTGTAAAATGGGCTAAATCATGTGCCACTTGGTGATTTGCCTTCATTTCTATTTGTTTTGGTCATCCTAATTGTCTTGTTGTTTTCCCACTCATCCAAGCAAGTTTGAACAAGTTCATTGGTGGGGGTCGAGTTCAAACAGATTGTTTGGGTCCTTCTGCAAATGTATACATCATTTCACTTTTTTGACACATACCTTTAGAAATCAAGGTTTTTTTCTTTTCTCTATGAGATTTGTGTAATAATAAAATAATATTTAGTTGTGAAATAAAGAAAAGATATTGAAAATTCAATTTTAAAAGGGAATTTTCTTTTGTATGGGTGGAAATGAGAAGAATACTGATTTAGTTAAATGGAGCATCCAATAATAAGAAGATAAATCAAAATTTTTTTTTGACTTGTGCGAGTCAATGATATAGAGAAAAGAAATTTACTTACGCAATTGAATCTATGTGGAGTTTAAATATAATTGATATAGTAGTTCGATGGGCTAGGTTCGCCTTTTCTTATTGATTTCCAATTTAAAGGTGGGTTTGATAGGTATATGGCAAAATGGGAATATTTTAGTTTCAGGATTCATAACAGAGGTTAGATTTGGAAATTATGACTTTTGACTAAAAAAAGTAGAATAATGATGTGACATGGAGAGGATGACTGTCATTATAGGGAAGACTGCTCTGATGAGAACTATTATAGTGGTTGATCGTTTTATTTTCTTAGAAATATAAAAATGATTTATATTTCCCACTTAAAAATGAAGAGTCCGATTTGAGTTCAGGGCTTTTTGATGTCATTTTTTAGAGCGATCTCACCGCAAGACCGAAACGCACTGAAGGTACAAAGGAACGAAGGAGAAGTCAATGGGAGGAAAGCACTTCGTACAAGGACACGACATGGGGAGTTTCCAGTGGAGAAGAAAGGCAGTGGAGATGGACTTCAGAGGGTACAAAATGGGGCATTGGGCAGAAGATGATTATATAGTGGGCAAAGAGTTCGCAATGCCACTGGGCAGATTCATTAATGGGATGAAAAGCAACAATGTGGTAAAGTCGTCATGTGGCAGAGGACGTCAACCATTATATAAATTTTATTTTTAATTTGATGTTTTTAATATTAATATTTTAAAAAAGTTCTTTTTTGTTGATTTTTTGGAAAACCAATTGCCAAATTATATATATATATATATTATAAATCAATTTTCTAAAAAAAATATTTATTTAATTATCTCCCAGAAAATCAATCATTAAATTTGTATGTGATTGTTAGGCTAGTGTTATTTACATAATATATTTGTTATAGGGAAGTGCTAAATGTTAATTCAAAAAAAAATATTGAACAACTCTATGTATATGTGTACTTTTATTATTATATATGACGTGTTCGTATAATATATATTTTTAATATGCACAAAATCTGTGCAAAATATATATAAATGATTTGTGTTAGAAAATTGACTGTAATAGAGTAGTGTATTATCGTCTTAGAATAATACGAAGATTCAACACACTCTTATAAAAGAAAAAACAATTAAAATTGACACAAAAAATTTTTACGAGGAAAACCTGGAATGGGAAAAACCACAGGGTCTAACACAGCTGAATAATTCCACTATAAAAGGAAGATTAAAGTTGCAACTGCTTGTCTCGTAGGCGAGAAAGGGTTACTAGTTTTCATAAGTTACGTCAATGTGATGATGAATTTGTTGCTAGGATCGGACGATGATTAATAGCAATTGGCGACGTCAGTTAATGGTGGTCAGTGGTGGTTAACTGTGATCGACGGCTGTCGACGATGGTTGGCGGTGGTCGACAACGATCAGAAGTGGTTTACGAAGGTCGACGAAAATCAGTAGTGATCGACGGTTGTCAACGGTGGAGCTGTTGTACTTCAACTCCTACAAATTTCTTGCTCTTCCTGAGATCGTGCTCTAGTTAGAGGAAGAGTTCCCCCCACGATGCCTCTTAATCTTCTCGCGTTGTTCTCCGCCGACGGCTATCTGAATTGACAAACTTGGTATTTAGATTCATGGATGTTATGATGAGCAGGGTAGCAATTCTTTTTCTCTAAGGGGAATTCTCCCTGGACGAGACGTCGTAGCTCATTACAAATGACATCATATGGAATGCCAACAAGGTGCGGCGGTGCCAGGTGAACTGTGTGAGATGAATGAGTAGATTACGAAATCTAGAAGTTTAGCATCACGACATCACAGAGAAAATGTTCCTTGTTGTTGATAGGGTGCATTTCTCGTAAGTCGCTTAGTTAGTGGCAAATGAACTCCATCTAATGGTGTGGGCAGCAGTCGTTGAGCCTAATGTAGGAGCTGTAAGATCTCTAGTTAAGATTCCTCTCTTCTGCGCATTTGGTCTTCTAGAGAATGACCTGAGACACCATCTTTGGCAGGATCGCGTCTCTCACGGTGGGAGGATGAAGAGGCATGCTACCCCTTCATGAGTGCTTCTAGGAATGATGGGTGTTGGAGTGAGGCTCGCAAGTACTTCAGTGGTGGAATTGAATTTCTCACAGACGACGCCAAACTGATGCGCGTTAGAAAATTCACGACAGTAGAGTAGCAGATTATCGTCTTAGCATGACACGAAGATTCAACATACACTCAGAAAAAAGAAAATAACTAATAAGAACACCAGAGGTATTTACGTGAAAAACCCGAAAAGGGAAAAACCACGAGACCTAACTCAGTTGAAGAGTTTCACTATAAAAAAATGATTAAAATTGCAACCACTTGTCCCATAGCCAGGAAATATTTATTAGGTTTCCTAAATTACAACGTCAAAGTGCTGATGAATTTGTTGCTAGGAACGGGCGGTGATCGATTGCGATTGGCGGTGAATGACGACGATCGGCTATGTCCGAGGGAGCTTGACGATGATCGACAACGGTCAGCGGTGGTTAATTGTGATCAACGACGGTCGACGATAATCGACGAAGATTGACGATGATCGATGAAAATCAACGGTGGTCAATGGTGGTTGGCGGTCATCGACGACGTTCGATGGTGAGCGACGTAGATTGGCGGTGATTAATAACGGTCGGCGTTGGTCGACAGAGGCCAGTGATAGTCGACGACGGTCGACAGTGGTGGTGTTGAACTTTAGCTTATTCTTAAAGCTTCAAGCTCTTCCTCAGATCACACTCCTCTCCCTCTCATGAGAGTTGTGGGTCCTTATTCATAGTGTTCTAAGTGCAATTAATGTAGAAATATGAATCACTTTGATCGGACGATCCAGAGAGCTTCCTTCGATCAGATAATATTTGATGGACATTTGAGCCGGTCAGTTTGACTGTAAGTTCGCTGAAATCAGAGCTTCGATAACTTTTATCGAGATTTAAGTATTTCTTGCTCAAAATGTAGTCTTGAGATCCATATCATGCATCGAGATTCATGATAGATGATGAAAATTTATCGGAGCCCTATCAATAAATAATTTTCACAGCCGGACAATATTTTTTATTCTATAAAATTTCTTTAAACAAATGCAAATTAAAATTTAAACCTTGGCTTTAGTTTAGATGAAAAGCGACAAATGGAAATGTAACGCCAGGGAGCCTAGTTTTGTTGCCCGGCACTCTTGTTTCGACTAATACAAACTACTTGATTGGAACTTTTCACCCTTCTCTGTACGTTATCATTATTATGTGTATATTAATAATTTATATGTTAATTTAAATTTTTATTAAGAATCATCATATTTCTAATTAGGGACAATTACATCCACGTATCCTAAACATTGTTAATTACAAATCCAAAACCCACTTTCATCCATTTTTTGAAATTCTCACTCAAATTTTAAAATGCATGAAAACCCATATATATATATTATATATATATATATGAAGAAAGGAATAGCTTGAGGTTATTATACGAGCTCCGGTCATCCCTCACGCGCCTAATAATTCGAGTACCATAACCTACACCCGGGGAATCGAACCTTAGACCAGAGGGTACTTACAACTGACAAGTAGATGCCGTCCAACTGATCTGAATACACGGCATAAAATATTATATATATACAATCAAATTCTCAATGATTTGATAATGAGACGGTCAATACATCAATTCAGCAGTTCATAAGTATTATATGTTTGTTAGATTTTGTCAATAACGATGTTGCGGAATTATGTGGTTATCTTTTATAATTATCTTAATTGATTGGATTGATAATTAAACGATTTGAAAATAAAAAAATGATTTAATAGTTTAAATTTTTTATGTAAAACAAGTCATTTTATATGATGTGCGCAAATGTGTACATATATTATTTTATAAAATATATTTTCAAGGTAAGCGCTCAAATTAATATATGTACTATATAGCTGTTTGTACATAATATAGAATATTCCTCTGCCAATATGTCCACACATAATAGTAATTTTATAAAAATAATTGAAAATTTACATACATATCACCCAATTCTTATGTATTTACATATCTAACTCCTATACTTGAAATTTTAAATATATGCCATCTTATATATACATAAATCCTTGTATTTCTTTTTTTTTAAATACAATAATGATTTTTTTATGTTATATTTTGAATTTTATGAAAAGGGAAAAATATTTCTTTATTATTTTTTTTATTTTGTGTAAAAAGTATGCACATAAATTTCACCTTAATTTTAATACCAAATATAATTAACCAATATCTTTATTTTTTTTTTATATTCAAATTTGCATTGTGCGCAGCTATGCACATTCATTAAACTAATGGTCATACACATCTATGGATGGATAATTATATGGAAAATTAAATCAACTTTGATGTTGTAAATAGCTATGTACAACTATTCAAATTTAAATTAAGATGCATACATGATGTGTCATTAACAATTTTTTTATCACCATGCATGAATCTCGATGTTGCAATTTGAATGGTAAACATTTCAATTTCAAATTCAAAATTATTGAGACCCCGATTTCAACGAGTTTATAGTCGAACTAAACATCATGACAAACAAAATCCAATGGCATTGAAAGTATCCAATCCAAATCCAAATGAGCCCACATCAAATACTTTAAGTGTTGTCACAAGTTTTGGTACATCAATTGGAAGACTAAATAATGTGTAAAATTTGTGTGCTTATAGTCATATTGATCATATCGACAAAAGAAATCCAACGAAGCCAAGATCATCATTTTTAAGGTCATTAAAACATTTAAATATA